TATTTTTCGACGATGAACAAATCTTCCCAGCAGAAGAGTTTTGGAATCAAAATTGCTACAAATTGAAATTTCTGGGAATTAAAACTTCACTTTCACCAGTAGATATCGTCGAGAGAATTGAAACATATATAAAACGTCAGGAAACGGGAAATAGTGATGGTGTATATGATAAATCACGCAATCTGCTAAAATATATCGATGAAAATTGGATTTTATTTGATGATAAATTTTTATCAATTATTAAATCTTCAAAATGGATTCCGACAATTGACCGATTTGGTAATAAGTCATTCTCTCGTCCATCTGAATGTCGTGACAAAAAAGATGAACATTTAGTATCATTAATCCTTTCAATCCTTGATTATCGAATAATCAAGAGCGAATTTCGAAAGCATCTGGGATGGAATAGACGTCCCCCTGTAAAAACTGTTCTTGAACAAATGAAATTATGTTCTTCATTGCCTAAAAAATAAAAAGTGGATTTTTTGCAAAGGCAATTTCTATACTCCAGAGAATGTTGTTTTTAATCTTCCGACAAATCTTGTAGATCTACCGATTATTCAATTGCCTGATGATTACCGAAATAACGATACCTTTAGTAAAGTATTTAAATGTTTGGGGGTTCGAGAAAAAACTGATATTTACGATTTCATTAATTTAATCAATAAGATTGCTCATGAAGCAAATAATAAAGCATTAAATGATGAAAATTTATCTAAAATTATTGCAATTCTTGATCAAGTCGGAAGGGAATGTAATAAATCTAATAAGAACAAGACTGATGATTTGAAAGATCTGCTTATTCCAAATACTGATGCCATTCTTTTCAGCCTTGGAGAAATTAATTGTGATGACATGGCCGCACTAAATAATGACGAAAAAAACAATTACAACCTTTCTCACCCCAAAATATCAATTGCGCTTGCTAGGGAACTTGGGATTCAAATGCTTTCTGAGACGTTTTTAAAAGGCAGTGATATTGATTTTGAAATTTATGAACAATCAGAGCCTTTAACCACCAGGATAAAGGAGATTATTAGCGTAAATATTAAATTTTGGAATTGATAACTTAAGTTTATATAAGCCAACGTTTTTTTGTAAATTAACATAATTTTAATAACATCTAGAATTGTTCGCTCGATTCCTTGTTCAGAAAATTTCTTCAGGTATTATATCTAAGAATTCTTTTTTTTACAATATTATGAATAAACATTTACAGGATCACATAAATAATTCACACATTTATTAGAACGCTGATAATGCAGGAGCACATAGATTTTCTATCTATATCGATGAGAGGCCATGGCATAAGAAGCCTGATCAATCTACACTCTTATCTAAAGAAATGCACGTTTGGCAAGGTCCAGCCATTTGGATTTACAATGATGCAAAGCTTAAAGAAAAAGATTTTTTTTCATTAGTTAAACTTTGTGTTGGAATCAAATCAGATGATGATAGCAAAATAGATCGTTTTGAAATTCCTACTGCTTATTTTTTAACCGATGTTTTATCTTTTGTGAGTGGAGAACAAATTGTTTTCCTTGATCCTCATGCAAAATTTCTTCCGGCACAAAGGGATCCTCCAAAAAAATCTCGAGCAAGAAGGTTAAATTATCTTGATAAAAAATTTTTACTGATCAATGTGAACCATATCTTGCCGTTGAAGGTTGTGATTTTAAAAAAGGCTTTAATGGAACCTTGTTCAGACTGCCACTTAGAAACATTGAATTATCGAAACAAAGCTTAATCTCGCAAAATTCATTAGGACATGAAAAAATTTTAAATTACCTTCGTGATTTGAAAGGTAACCATGAGATTCTTTTTTTAAAAAACATCGAAACATATAATATATATCATATAGATAAGGATGAACATAAACGCTTGATCTGGGAAGCGAAAATTCAAGATTTAAAAGATGTCAGGAATATTCGCAGCAAATTTTATTATGAACCACAAGTTTTTCAACTTGATATAAAAGTCAATGATGCGCAAAAAAAGAAGACAACTTTTGAAATATGGCTTGTATGTACAGGCGGAAAACCCATAGTCAAGGTTAAGAATCCGGACCTATACAAATTCTCAAATGGGAAATTTGTTGTATGCATTCTTTTTCTGAACTTTCGTCTATTGAGTTGCCGCATAATGAAACTAATCTTAATTCATAATTTGATCTCAAGGCACATGGTGGTATCGCTGCCATTCTTGCACAATCAGAAAATGAACCCTTAAAAAAGCCTTTAGACGTAATATAATTCATAATAAATATGTATGAGATTTATATTTCGTTAATTTCTTTGCAACTAATAGTTTCTCT